GCGGTTTTCTTCTCCCCCCGCATCTTTATTCATCCTGTCCAGGTGTGTTTTATGAACAAATAGATATGATTTAAACCACATAATTGATATATCGCTTTGAACATAATGCAGGCTTAAGCAGCAATCAGCCTGATTGTAAGCAGTCGGTGCGTGTCTGGACCTCGCGGAGAAAGCGTTTGATGGGACTTAGGCTGGAAATGCTTGGGTTTTATTTCACAAATATCTTACATTTGGCTCAAATTAACTGAACTGCGCTGTTCCACTGGTGGAAATCTGGAGTAATTCCTTTGACTTCAGATTTCTGCGGATGTACTTGGCCCCGTACAGAGAGCCGGGCTGCAGCCCCAGCAGAGGCGGCCCGGGCCGAGCCCTGGTGCTCGCCCTTACTCTAACATGCTGAATAGAGAGACATGATGGAAGATCACTTTTTGCCTTTGTTATCTGATTTAGCCCATGAACTGCAAGCTGCAACAATTAGCCAAACCCCAAAATATCTTTGACATTAAAATTGGACAAAAGGAATATAAAGAAGCATTCTGTGCTGCTGACGCATTACCATTCACTACAAATCCCCATGATAAATACCAGAACTGCTCTGAATAATAGATACTTCTGGAGACCTTCCAGCTCACAAAATGAACTGGACCAAGTCACAGCTATTACTCTGTGTCCAGAGGCTGGGGTAGCAATCGCTGTTCTCACTGCAACTTTGAGCAGACACCTGACTTTTACGCATTTACCTTTGTTAACTCTATGGATAATTAAACTAACTAGGCTGCTCGAAGGGATAACACAACCCCAAGGATGCATGCTCTATTAAATACAGTTTAGAGAGAAGGGATCAGTTCTGACTCCTTGCCTGGAGCTGGAAAAGGGAAGCGAAAACAGGCAAGAGGTGGCCAAAACTTACTGGTGTGCTGCGGCGTGGTCTGTGTTTGCGTAGAAGGGATGGGTGGATGGCTGAAGGAGAGGGCTAGAAAGACCTAGCTTTTTTTGTTATTCATACTTTTCTTGTTATCTTCACAAGGTGGTTTTTGTTTCCTGAAGGGTTCAGGTTGTCACCAAGTGCTTTCATTAAAATGGACACTACACTAGCGATTACCTATCGCTAATGAGACCCCTGACTGAGTGCGTATAGGAACGGAAAGCACTTCCTCCATTCCACTCAATTACCCTAACAAATCCCATTTTTACAGTCTAGAGTGCCTCCAGTTGCTAACAGTTTGGCTCTGAACAAATCCCCCCTCCCTGTTTCCAGGATGAAATAAATAAAAGTGCCTCAGCCCTGGGGTCCGGGCACTCCTGGGGGGTGAGCAGCGATTCCTGCGCTGTGCTTCACAGCTGCTTTTCTGAACATCTGCGGAAGAAAGCTTCAAAGCTTCATGTTCCCACGTGTGTGCACATCCAAGCCCAGGTGGTGGCAGGGAAGTAAGGGGAGTGAAAGTGCAAGGGTTAGTTTTTATTTGTCTGTAAATGCAAAGCATTGTAGTGACATTGCACACCCTGATCTGTGGTTTTATCTTCTGGTCCTTCTATTTGGAAGGGCTGGGAAAGCCTTGGCGTGGTGGGCGAGATGTTTACCTGGCTTCTGCGGGTTGTCCATGCACAAGGCACTAGCACTGCAATGTCAATTGGATTAAAGATCCTGACCTCCCCTCAGAGACCTATGGATGAGAAGGTGGCAAACCTCATCCGGAGAAAGTTGCAGCCGGGATGAGGCTTCCCCTTGGCATCCAATTTTTCATGTCTTCAGTTGACCTGTTGGCCAATGCTTTTACAATCTGCCCTCCTGGCCTTAAATGACCTCGCAGACAGTCTAAAACATAAGTACGCATGGCTGAGGATGCGCTGTGGTTTCAAGTAGGAATTAATTTGCGGGAGTCGGATGGCCTGTGTTCATGCAGAAGGTCAGGCTGGCCATGATGTTCCCTTCTGGCTTTATAATCTCCCATCTAATCTGTTCATGCTGAATGAGGGGCAGATGCTTGCCATTGCATTCCTGGAGCAAAACTCAGGTCCCAAACGATGTCTTCAGCTTTCCAGTGGTGCGTGGACATAGGGCTTGGCCCAGCAAGCGGCAGAACCCCTCCCTCTGCTCTGACATAAGGCTTCCATATTCTTGAAAAACCTCAAACAACAAAAAAACCCCCACAAAAATACCCCCAAAACCCTCAGAAGATTCAGGCAAGCGTCTGATGAGTATGTGGAGGGACTGAGGCGGATCGGAGCGGGTTATCAGTCCTCTGGGCAAGGGTTTTATTTATCATGTTTGTCCTCTTGGCTAACTGTGTGCCAGATGCAGTTACCGTGCAGGGGAGGAAGCAAGACTGAACCCTGTGAGCTTGCAGGGCTGGCACAGCCCTTACCCAGCTGCCAGAGCTCCTTTCGCTGCCCAGCAGGGTCTTTTTTGGGGGACATAATTTTATTTCAGCTTTACTGAGCACTTGGAAATATGTATTCAGTGAAAAATTGCCCCGAGTCCTTCACTTGGAAGTTTTGGGGGGTTATTTTTTTAACAGTTCTCTCTGTGTTTTCCTCCTGGTACGTTTCTGCTATGCGTTTTCCTCCTAGAGCAAAAGGGACCGCATGAAGGCGTGGGTACGAGCACGTCTCCCCACCTGCTGCAAAGAGAGAGACTCCTGGTCCATCTACATCTTCGCCCCTCACTCCAGGTAAGGCAGAGGCAGCATGGGGGGCACAGATGCCCTCATTACGATGGCTCACTCTGCCCCTTTATCCCAGATGGGTCTTTATATGTCAGTTCACAGAACTCCCAGCCCTCCCCCTGCTGCAGCACTACATCAGGGTCACACAGCAAATGGCCACCGGCTGGCATGGCGCTGGCATAGGAGTGTCCAGTAGAGACCCATAGCCCAGGGCATGGCTGCAGCTTGATCAAGTTCACTGCTCTGCGAGCTTTTCACTTGGCAGAGCGTGGGGAGTTTGAAGCAAGGGGGAGAGGTGCTGCATTAAGCCCCCACTGCACACTTACAACACAGCAAAGGACGCTCCTTGACCTCCTAAACCTGCCTCTCAGCCTGGACATCTCTGTCCTCCCCCTTCCCTTCCTCCCTCTCCCAAGAACCCCCAGAAAACTCCCTCTCCTTGCTTGCAGGCTCCCAGCTCTGCCCTTCCCAAAGCCCAGCTGTGCCAGGGCCGTCTGGGCTCCGTGCTCTCCTACGTGTTCCTCTGGACGTGCACCCATGCTCAGCAAGGGTTTCCCATGTTTGAGCTGGTGGGCCCTGGACAGCATTTGAGTTCATTCATACAAAGATTAGAGAGATTTTCAGAAACAGACTTTGGGAAATGTAATACGGTATTATAAATCCTGGGTCAGTGTACAGCCATCTGTCACAATAAATAGCTTCTGTCCATTTGTCCCATGTTCCTTACGGGCTTGCTGGGAGTATTTCTTCCTTTATTTAAGCTAAACCTGAGCACTACAGACCAGGTAGCAGGTCGAATCCAAATGTGGCCGCGTGTCCGAGTTGTGGAGGCAGCTGCTCCACTTCAAGTGACCCAAAGCCCCCTATGAACGTTACCAGAGCTTGAAATCTGTGGCCTAATTCTGTAGGTTGGATACTTTTCTATTCATACCCCGATCTGCCTGCAGCATGCGGCTCTGCCAGGGAGGAGATTGGGAGATTGTAGCTCATCTGCTTTGCAAACAGGGCGCTCGATTCCCCTGCCATGCGTTGAGCTGCTGCGTTTCTCCCCAGCCAGTCGAGCATTAATAGCTAGCCTGTATCTCCTCTTCTTTTTTTTTCTTTCTCGGCAGATTCCGTCTGATGTGCAATAAAATCATCACACACAAGATGTTTGATCATATCGTCTTGGTGATCATTTTCCTGAACTGCATTACCATTGCCATGGAACGACCCAAAATCGAGCCTCACAGCGCTGTGAGTTTCCGAGGTTAACCTTTTCCTGTGCTCCTCGTGGAGCCAACATCTGTGGCTTGGACCCTGCTGGTGTGTGCTTGGTCTCACTTTCTTTCTTATTTTTTAAATGGGGAGCTGCCAACACCCCCTGCGTATCCGTTGAATTAGGTACAGCAACTCTCCTGGTCCTTACCCAGTGTCCTTTCAAAGTGCAAGTGCAGAGCTCGTGGCCTGCAATATATCGAATATCCTACTTCTGCAAGTACGATCAAGGTTTTAACACATGACATAAGCATGACATCTGTCTCAGTTTCCTTCTCTGATAAACCTTCAAACACTTTTCCTCTCTCAACACAATGTTCGTTTCTTCCATCTGTTCTCCATGGGCACGTATGTGTGGTGTGAAGAGAATGGGGGAAACTGTTCATTTCATACTCTTCTCTCCCCTTTGTGTATCAGCTTTGTTGTGACACAAGAAAAACCGAATTGATACATGCACTGCAATGCCATTTCCCCAAACCATTTTGTTTTAATGGACTGACTACATAAGGATTCCTCAAACTAGACCCTCACAGCACCAACATCCATCAATCAAAGGGGCAGAATCATCCTATTGCTCTTTTATTTTAACATAAATTGTGGCTGAGAAATACACTGGGCTCTTGCTGATGTATTGCAAAAGACTGCTCATATCGCAATCATATAGAATCCCGTTTTGTTGATGTAGGCGTGCCAGGCTGTTCATTTTTGTGGATCTTCAATGTAAGACCTTAAAACTGGAGTATTGGCTGCTCTGTGCCTATTTTCAGCTTTCCCTAGTAGTCCTCCTTACTGTAATCGTTTGCCTAGCGGTCCCTTCCCTAAATCCATTTTCTTTCTTTCGGTTATCACGCAGTCGTGGTGCACCAACTCACACCAAGAAGAGAGCAGAACTCTCTGCCAGCCGATCTAGGAGGAGGAAATCACCCTGCTGTTCCCCAAATGGGGCACCCTGAGAATGTCCCTTGAAATCCGAAATGCTTCTTTGGAGCCCCTTGCTATGTCCTTTGAGAGCCACCATTCACCAAGGCTGAGGAACTGTAGTTACACAGAGACGAAGGGAATGGGGTGACATGAATGAGCCAGAGGAGTCCACGGCAAAAAGCTGTAACAAAAACACCCAGTACTTTGTATATGAGAGGAGGAGGATGAGCTGCGGTGTCCCCGGGCATTGGAAGAGTGCAGAGAGGAAAGGAGGCAGGGACTGGTGTGAGGCTCGTCAGCATCAGGTTATACCCAAGGGAACCAAAATGGGTCACTCTGGGGTGGAGCTGAGCTGGACCCTGGGCTGGGAGCAGCAGGGAGGAGAAGGGGGATGCTGAGCAGTGGGGCAGGGAGCAGGGGAGCCAGCAGGAGTGTGTGGGCCCTGCCTGCACTGACGGAGCTTTCATCTGGAAACTGAGAGAGTTAGTTTAGCTTGAGTTGTTTAAAATAATTGTACTTTGCTTCCCCAAGCTGTGGATTTTCTAGCTGCTTCAAACGAGTTCTCTTTCCCGGTCCCAGTTTCAGCTGGCTTATCGGAACAGGGGATGCTGTTGCTAGCCAACACGCGCTCCCCATCGCAGAGTGCACGACATGGGCCAGGGAGATTATCCTGCAAAATAGCCACACACTTGCCAGAGAGGAATGTAATATCCTCACTCTCTCCTCCATGCTATTGCCATTTTATCTCCAGCTCCACAAGCAGGTCCCTACTCTCTTTCTCCTGCATGCTGCCTACCCCTCTACAGCAGCCTTTTGTGTGGCAGTCAGCTAATGGCCAGAGATGTTTCCTATCACAGCTCAGGCAATCACAGTGCAGGTCTAGGACCTAATTAATTATGGACCCAGTATGGAAACAAGCTACTCTGTGGTTCCTGAGTCACTTTCAGTAAATCATGATCTGGCAAGCGAGAGAGTTGCCAAGGTGTTTTGTCTTGTTTAAATTGCATCTCATTTTGAGCGAGAGATCTGCATCTCTTACAGGACTGCTCTGTGGGGAGAGGCAGAAATAAATCCAAAATTGTTATTAGCAGAACCGGGGCTGGTTCAATTGTATGCGCACATGCATACATGCATACGCACCATCTTTCCTCCAGCCTCCGCCTTCTGCTGTCCATTTCTCAGTAGAAGCGATCAGAGATTGTTTGGGGATTAGGGAAAAGTGTAATTTATTTAATGATCATCATTAAAAAGAAGGGTTTCTGCTAACTGCAGATAGGGAACCAGTCCATGATCTCATCTGTAATCACTAGCCACTATTGCAGAGCGGTGGCAGTGAGGACTGCATGGTCTGGTGGATAGCGCAGGGGACTGGGAGATGAGACTATCGGGCTTCACGCCTAGATCTAGCCTGTGGCTTTGGGCAAGTGAGTCAACCTTTTGGGGGCAGGTCTCAGCTGCCATAAACCCCCAGAGCTTCGCTGGCTTCGGTGGAGCTGTGACAACTCCTGCCAGCTGCACTTCAGTGTCCCATGGGTCCTGCTTGCCTTGCAGCACAGCCGCTCTAATATTGACTTAATTTCTAGGAGAACTGGGAGCTCAGTGATATTTGCACTGTGCGGTGACGTCCGCAGGTGAGGGGCAGGTCGAGATTTGCCAAGCGTGCTCCAAGGGCTGGGGGAGATCTCCCTGTTTCTGCTGGGGGTGTGGGGGGGGTGTGA